CAATATGCGTTTTTGCTGCCTGTTGCAGCGCTCTAGCGCTGCACGGCAAAAACGCATAACTAGTAATCATGTACCTGGAGGTCCATGCGGCTGTATAATGCACCACCTTCATCCCAACCGATGCCGTTTCTCCTGCGTGCTGGAAGGGGCTAAAACTCGGCTAATACGAGCCCAAGTGTTAGGCTACAGCGCAGAGATCACTTCTGCTATTAGCGACCTGCGAGTTTAGTGCAAAAACGCATGATCGCACCAGCAAGCCTGGTGCATTCCAGCTTGGGTTAAATTTATACATCTTTACTTTTTTATGCGTCTTTGAATATATTCAAATGCAATAACGCATACCGTAACGACCCCCGGTGTACGTATGTTTGTGTATACATGTATCTGTGTTTGTTCGGGCATTTCCGCAACCAAGCAAGCTTCGGCGCTGAAATTTTGCCAGTGGGTTCCCGGTCGAGTGCCACCGCAGGACTGAGGTAATAGCATTCGCGCACATCTAATCCCAGCGTACAAGCACATGAAACTTTTGGCGGGATTCATAAAAACTGCGAGGCTGAAATTTTGAGATGTTTTCCGTTACACAACAAAGATTTCAAATTTAGCCCCCAGTTGTGTGTGGTTCTTACTTACGGGCACTGAAATTTTTTGAGGGCGACCTGTTAACTCAGGAGCTGACAAGGTTGGACTGCTGGAATTTAAAGGGAGATTCTCCGTCTAAGCACTATGTAAAAATTTTAAATTCTGCCCTAGTTACGCATCGCACTCATGTGCGAGCACGTGAAAATTTAGGCCGGAAAATAGTAATTCTTGCCAGCCAGAAAACTGGAACTTCCCCAATTCGTACTGGTGACTGTAAAGGCAGGCGATGAGGCATCCTGTCTAGAAATGCAGAAAATCAGCTGGAAGTCGAACCCGACGCGTCAGCGTAGTAGTCGAATAGCTCATCCGATGCGGCATTTTTGTAGTGTGGACGAGTAGCAAAAGCTGAGCTGAGAAAGGCACCCCGCCGCTAAACCACCAGTACGGTGTGGGCAGGGGCAGGATTCGAACCCCGAGGCATCAGCACCGTGGTAGACGGATGCTGCACAGGCGGCGCACTACTTCCACGGCAAGATCCGAACCCGGGACTTTAGCATGGTACCATCGAGCTACTCATGTAGTCGGCAAGGGTCAGGAACCGAAGCCAGGTTGACAATGTAGCAGACGTTCATTTCTTCATTGCCCGCGAAAGGTTTTGAATCTGAGATGTTCGCTTGGTAGACGAGCATCCTGGTGCTTGGCCACTGACGTACTTGTAGCAGGATCGAAATCCGAGATGCTAACGTTGTGGAATGGCCTTTTGCCACCGAGCTATCCGGCGGGGGTAAGGCGTCGAACTCGAATTGCTAGTGCAGTAGACGGTCATTCTTTCACTGCGCCACCTGTGCCATGTGAGCCGCCGGTAAGAACCCAACCCAGCACGCCAGATTGGCAAACTTACATCCTCTCGCTGAGCCACCGATGCAATGCGGATAGGCGGCAGGATTTGAACCCGAGACGTCAGGGTGGTCCAGTGAACAGCCATCCGATGGAAATTATTCATTTTCCTTTACGCAAGAGTTTACGGATACTTACAGGAAGGAGTGCACAAGCTGAACAACAGCCATTCATATAGTTAACGATCCGGTTCCTTTAAGATTACTACAAAAGCGCATGTTTGCGCCGGTAGGCCTAGTAGTCGCAGCCTGGGTTTTAAATTTTTGCCCACTTGGTTTGCTGAATTTTACATATTTAGGCAAAATTAGGAGCTTCTTTAACTGGGATTGTGTTGGGTTACGAGTTCAAAACCTCTGGATGTTAGCGAAACACCACTGTGCCCCGAACTACAGTCAGTCACTATCTTTCTTGTCAAGATGTAACCGGTCTGCTGAGTTTCGTAAGCAATTTCAGGAACTTCCACAAAACGGGACGAATGGAATACTGATACGGTGTTTGCCCGGTGTTCGTGAGCAGCGTCATGCCCCCTTAGCTGTCCCCAGATTTATTCGATCACCACAAACGCAAAAAGTGATGCCGGGTACAGTCGCAGCTCTTCATTGCAGGTTAGCTTATACGTGGATAATTTATGTAGTTGTTTGCATAGAATATGATTTTTCAATTGCGCAGCTGGTAACTCTCCTTATTTTCACCAGTACAACATTGTCTGGCTATCATTGCATCGGTTCGGTTCGTCTTATAATCCTCAGCTTGAATTATATCATTTTCTGTGAAGAAAATTTTCGAAATTCCATAGAAAAAATGACAAAAGATCTAAAATTCTTAAAAGTTCTTAGATGTTTTGTTTTACTCAATTAAAAGCCATTCTAGCTTGACTGTGCCCGTGCGTCTAATTGTCTTTTTGGTTCCACTTCGGTAGAGACATGATCGTCGAAGTGCACACGGACACATGTTTTTCAACCTTTAGAAATTCTAACTTTCGTTTGTCCTGACTTTTTAGATTTGGTTCGGGTTGCTGTTACTTTCGCTTACATCCAGTCTCTTGGTGCATGACCTGATTGGGCAGCTCATCTCTGCATCTTTTTTCCGTTATATTTATAAAATTCTCTTTCATTTTAAGTGCCATCGGTCAGCCAATGCCGCAGATTGTCTGGATGCGGAACGGAGCATACATGCACAGCACATCGCAGTCAATAGGTGGCCAATCCACCCTACGGGTCAAAGTTGATGATAATGACGACGTCGGCGATTACATTTGCTTGGCTCAGAATGTCGCGGGCGTCGCAAGCACTGTGGGTACCCTAGTACTCGAGCGCAAACCAAATAAGGTTGGCATTCTTTCTTAACTTTTATGGACTGTCCATAAAATGTGCGAAAGATCGGTCCAACAATTTTCGAGAAATGCTTAAAAAAATAACATGTCAGATAGTCAGATGTGCCATCAACTTGCTCCTAGTAACCATCGGAGGAGAGCAGTTGTCATAGATACATTAATACCACTTTGGTTATATCCAAGCGCCTTCATCTTCCGCGGACAGTGAATATGGAGGGGGCTTTGACCTTGGCTTTATTTTGCAACAATTTACATGGTACTGCAAATTTCTACTTCTTAAGTTTTTAATGTAACAAATTTAAATAAATTTGTTTTTCTTAAAAATCTTTCACCAAAAATAAGAAGCCTATAGAAGTGTAAAAAACATTGCACATGAGCTAGCAAAGCATTCATAGCATTTGAACTAGCCAGTGACAACATGAGATCTGTTCCTTTTAATATTCTTTTTAGCGATATTCATTCTATGTATATATATCCTGTTTGATAAATAAATGTGTCATACCCTTTTTCATCCGACAGAGATAAAACAGTTTGTCTTTTAATATTAGTTGATTGCAGTTTCACATTTTCAGACTGAACGCCGATCAGTTGCAATGCTAGACTGTATATCGACGGATAAAAAACAGCTTTTTGTGGGCAATATCGTCTGGAAATTGTTCGACTCAGTGCTGAATAGCTCAGCTGAGTCAGTAAAACGGCTACAGAATGGCTCGCTTATTGTGTTTGATGTCAACAGAAATAATTCGGTAAAAATGCTTTGCGCACTGCTTCGGATAGATAGATTGAATTTGCTCAACTAAAGAAATTTAGCGCAAGAGCTTCACGAGAAAAATCTGCGTTGTAAATGAAGCGATGGAGCCTTGTCAGCTACTGTGGTTTTAAAAA